AGAGATCCAAGAATGACACTTAAAAAAATTCTCTTCGGATACTTCTAAACAAAATTCAAAATACTGTACGGAAACTGTAAAACGAATGTATTTACCGTAAAACAGGATGGCTCTTGAGAAAGACTATTTTAGAAGGTTTTGAGTAATCTGGGAATTTCGTGTTACAGGAAATTGGGTCGCGGCGCGCGTTGCATCAAGGTTGGAAATGGGCCTTTAATAAATGTCCCTGCCTCACTGACGTTCTGTCCTTTAACAGAGCTGATCAAATTTTACTGAATCGATTGCCTTGCGACTTGATGGAAAATCGATATTCAATGGAAGAACAGAGTTTAAATTTTATTTTCTATTTTTAATGACTTGTTTTGAGTATTCTTATCACGCGTTAAAGCAAACTATTAAATCTTTTACCCTTTACGGTGGCTAATTTACGTTTTCAACCCAGTTGTTAACACTAAATTACCTGCTATGCTCTTCCACCGACGCAGCACCACAGTTTCTTTAGAAACTTACCCCTTTATTAAATCTTCTGACAATTTTCGCATTGTGTTTAAATGACAGGAATGTGACAATTTTATTCACGTTAATTTAATTAAATTTGGGAACTTGATCTTGTGTTTTCCGACGAAATCAAACTATTACAAAATACGAAATTACATATTTTGAAGTCGCGAAAACCGTCATCTCTCAATTCTGAACAATGCCAAAGCTGATTTCAAAGACGAGCTACGTGCAGTTCGTTAATAAAGTTAGTTGAGATCAGTTTAAGATTTGAATAAAGAACTATATATAAGAGGACGAGTTTAGGTAGATTTTACCAAGTACGTGGGATATATAAATGTATTTAAGACTTAGATTTGACACATGTTAACTCAAATCAATTCGAAATGGGGATAAACTTTGAAATAGATTACAGGAGAATTTATTATAAAACCGTTTGTCATATTTGGGCCAAACGTGCTGAAACTTGAATTTGAAAATGTTTTCCCCTTTGGTAGCATGACCACTATCTGGCTTTCACCATGATATGTATTGTACGCTATGTTTTTCCAGATAGCAGGGAGTCGTATCACAAGCTAAAAACTCTATGGGAGTGTTGAAATGTTAAACATATTCAGTAGAGTAATTTGTGTCATTTTTGCATGGTGATGATATGAAATCGGCCCGAAGGGCAAGAAACACCTCACCTCAGTTCAACAAAATTTAATTTTTCTCTACGGGAGTTTTCAGACGAAGATTCCTTTCTTTTTTTTTTTGGTGCATTATTCGTTACTGCCGATTTTTTTCTCCATATTCTTTCTTAAGCTGGTTCGCCTTCAGTTGTATATGAAAACATCACTCATGTAGGAATCGCAGCAAAAGACTTAGGTGATTAAAGTGAAAAACTTTCAGAATAATCTAGTGCCTTGAAGCAAAACGGTGGCGTTTCTATCTCCCTTCTCCAGACAAAGTACGGTCCTCTCTTAACCCCAGGCAGATAAAAACATCATAAAAAGCAACATATTTGTGACTGAAGAGATTCCTTTACGAGGGAAAAAAAATCGATTAGAATTTGCCTTGCTTTCGACGTTTGGCTTCGTGGCATACTTGGTAATTACATCCAACCATTAGCCTTGACATAGCCGTTCATTGCTTGCTTGGGTACGATTTAGGGCTAGGTATAGTTGCTATGAGATTTAGCTCACAAGCTTCAAGTGCCTTCCATTCAGTTTGTAAGTAAGACGTTTCCAATAAACAACGTCGATTCATCTAAATGGACATTATTGAAACCTGTCTGATTATGAAGTCTTAAAAAAGTATTGTCTGACCACACCATGGCTGTTTTGCACTTGCAAATTTAAGTTCAATCAACGCGTCTTATTATCTTGCGGAAAGCCTAAAAATTTGAAATCAACGAAGTATACTTTCAGTCCAGAGTCGTCACACATATATTAGACCATCCTGGAATCAAGAGAAAAAAATGGCAGTTTAAAAATGTTATTAATTACTCTTTCCTTCCCTTTAATCGCGCTTTTGTTTAACTTATTAACATCAAAAAATGTATTTATTGAAATAATTTCACATGATGAAATTCACTCTTGGATGACTTTTTCTTTCAACCTTGGACCAATAAGGTGTGATCTCCTGTTTAATCCAATGAAATGAATTATGTTACTACTGCATGGTGGAATCGTTGCGTAAGGTCTATATAGAGCAAGAGATTATACAATGTCTTGTATGAGTATGATCGTGACAAATCTTTGCCCGTATAAGGTAGCGAAACCCAGCTTGAAACAAGTGCGATAAGTTTGTTCTCGATTTAAAGAAGAAACATTTTTATAGATCAATATTATGTTATCATCAACTGAGGTTCTAGTAGGGTGCATATGTATCCAAGTATTCTCTTACAACGCAACTTCCTCCCCAATCATGCATGGCAGCAAATTAAACCAAGGATACGTTTAGAACTGCAACACTGACCCTTCATACACCGGATTGATGCATTCAGCCTCTTCTACACTTTTTAAAACATCATCCATGCTGGAACGAGATAATCACTCAAGTCATGCCACGCAAAAAAACTAACTAGAAGAACAGAACAGCTGTGATAATTGTTTAAGGTATTTACCTTTCGTACAAAATGTTCTCTTTTTCGTCTTGTCCAGTTTCGATGCTGAAGGGGATAGGAGAATTGGAAACGTGAGTATCGCTCTATTTTATCATTTGCAGATCACAGAGTATTTGGTCAGCGACACACTAGCTCGACTCTTATATATACTACACTTTTGATAAAGCATTAAAATAAATCAAATTAAGCCACGCGCATTTACAAAATAGCTCTTCTTTGTCACTGTTTCTTTAGAATTAGGATAGTTGACTTTTGTGGAAGGCAGGAAAGCAGTAAGCCTACAGAAACGCCGTGGATTTAAGGGCGAGAACCAAAGGCAACGCAACCCACTAGTAATGCTAAGTACAGGAATCGAGCCCGTGCCACGGTATTGATAGGCAAGTGTTCACATTAAATACCTGTTTTTTCGTTTTGGCTTCATGTGTCAATAGTGAACAAACGCACCGCAACAAAGCGTTTCCGGTGATTCTCACTGATTTCATAATTTTTATAAGTATGGTTAATGTGTACTTCATCCTTCAAGATTTCTTTGGAGGACTGCTTTGGGGTTCTGTCACATTTACGATTCACCTCGAGGCCTATTTTTTTCATTATAGCCTCTTTTTGTTCATACTATACAGAGACATCATCTTTGACAAATACATAAAGCTGGACTGACACGTGGCAAAAATAAACTGTTTGCTCCATCAAAACTATCTATGATGAGGCACACTGGGACGTCATCGTTGACAAATACATGAAGCAGGACTAATACGTGGCAAAAATTAAGCTATTTGGTCCATTAAAACTATCTATGATGTTACCAAATTAAAGATCTTTTATGGTTAGGGACGGTACTACTGCATTTCTGACCTGCTGCAATAGAGCGGATTGTCACTCTCTTTGATCTCGTCATCATCCGCAAACTGGTCATAGGAATCCATAAAATCCCTGTTTTGAAAAAGACAAAACAAAAAATTCATCATCTCAAGGAATCGCTATTCTCGGGTATGCTTTAGGTATCTTAAACACTTTTAATATTAGAAAAATAGTCGTACCTGTTATCGTATAAAATGTTAAATTGTTCCTTCTTTGTCAACGTTTCCGTGGTGTAGCGTTCTCCTCTCTCATTTTCTTTGCTGAAACTGGTAACAGAAAACATTACCTACAGATCTTCAATTTTTTTTTTTTCTTTTGTACATACTTCCTCTACGTTACGACTGTACACCGCCAGTTTTCTGCAGAGAATTAGATCGACTGGTTACCTGTCCACTTAAGAATAACTATGCTCCGCAGTGATTGGCTGGTTTTTAGTAGCTGTGCTTGGTGCCGATTTTTTGACGAAAATTTACACCATAATGTAACATCAGTGTTAGGAGAATTAGGAAGCAAAGAAGAGAATTGACTCGCTTAAACGCTGACTTCAGCTGTGTTAGGGCTCGCCCATACTACAGGGCATCTCAAGTGCCCACCTTCTTCGTAGGACATCGTCCGATTTGTAAGGCAGCGAAGTGTATTGACTGCGATTCATAGTCAATTACAATCAATCTCGGCGAGGTTTAGTGCTCTACAAGGAGGCCTCGTCGCCTCAGAGTGACTTATAGGTGTGTCGGCTGTGAATTTCCGATTTCCCTTAAATTTTGTCGCACCCAAAAGCAGTGTCAAACATTGCATCGTCAAGGGATCTTTCATTTATTAAGATTCTCAACTAACGAAAAATTCCGTTTCTTTTTACCTCTGCGAATTCATTACGTTGTCGGTATCTTCTACACTAGTTGATATCAACAGCTGTAATACAACGGGGGACGGCAACTGAAAGGAACACAAACTATAAACGTCGAATTCTGTGCACACCTTTCGTTGTACATGTTTGGAGGGTTGTTATCGTCTTCAGCTATCTTCTCACTAGCTGTGTAGCTGACAGTAAATTTGTTATGACCTTTGTCTGTCCTTTTGAACCGCCTAGAATTCAATTAAAAGGGTAAATAATTAGTATCAAGAATTTTATACAAACGCTATTATACATTTTTAATGAATTTTTGCCTGCGTTGTTTGTTTTCGAACTGATAAGCTGTAAAATCTGGTCTTTGATGTCCCTCAAAGGCCTAAGATATTTCATGGAAGTCCACAGCTATTTTTCTTTTAATAAAGATAGGAAATCTATGAAGGCATTACATCGTGGTATGTCTCAAAACTGCCGTTGAAACACTAGTTTTAGAACTGACCCCAAATGATTATGCCTTGAACTCTGATCGTTACGCTTAACTTCTTTCATTGTAATGAAAAGTCATGGTCACTGTACGATCAGTTATCGACTAATTTGCGATAGGTCATCGATTATCCATACCAGTTTCTACGGAGACAAACAAGTGCTACTGTTACCACCACAGCTAAAGCAGCCAACGAAGCTATCAAAGCAACAATGATGGGAACTTTCCCCGATGCTCTTGAATTTTTGTATTCAGCCTTCTGTTCGGTTTCTCCATTCGAGTTGCTCGGTTCCCCCTTACTCCTTGATTCGGTTAGTGGAAAGAGTTCTCCACTCGTTACCCTTGAGGTTGAAGTTCTCTGTGTGGTTTCACGCGGCCTTGTTCTTGGAGGCACCTCAGTTGTGATTGGTCGTGTTGTCACAGGTATGTTCGTAAATGGGGAGGTAAACGATCCGTTTGGATTGGTATGAACTGAGGATGCTTTTTGCGATGTTGAATGCCCACTTGAGCGTGTTTTTAGGGTTGATTGTTCTGTAGAGGATTCTTTAGCTGGTGTAATTGTTGTACCAGTTGTAATTTTGCTGTTGTTACTTAAAGAAGTAAGTGTTGCTGTATTTCCGGCAGTAGGAGACTTATCATTTCCACTTGTTGTGCCTCTGGAATTTGCTCCAGTAATCGGAACTGTGGTAGGACTGACAGAAGTGATGTCGGTTGACGTCGCTTTCTGCGTGGTATCCGTTGTTCTCCCCGTACTTGTTGGTACTTTGTTGAGGAAAAACGAAATACAGAATTAACGTAAGTTTGCGTGTGTGTGATTGATGGCCTTTGTCAATTGCTATATTCTTAAATAGGCGAATCTAAAACATTACAGACACAAGACGCTTACTAATACAAGATCAAATCTTAATTCTGTAACAAGCAAACTAATTCAAATGCCCAGATCACTGTCGTAACATCGACCATTTGGAGAGAGCCTTGCTGACAACTTTTATAATAAAGAGCAAGCTACTATTCTTACTTGTAAGCTGGAGAGCATGATATTCAGCCTTAAAACCCACTTCTTGGACAGTACCGTCTGAGGTAAAAGTAACTGTAACGTTATTGGTTTTTGACCGGATATCCCCAGGCGGATACGCCACACCCATACAGTATTTCCCTGTTAGTTCAGACGTTCCATTTGGAAAGTTGTCGTGTATCTCTACATAGTCGCAATCACAGCTTTGAAAGAGACACATATCACTCGTTTCCAAACGGAAGTCAACAAATGTCAATGAAATTATGTAGTTCCAGGGGACATTGATATGCCACTCACACCAGGCCTTTTCCTTATATGGAGATGGATAGTTTGGGCTTGAGAAGGAACCATTCAATGCTGTTAAGGTCCATCTACACGCTGCAAAGAAAATACGTGGAAATGAATCGAACCAGCTTGTGAGACGTTCTTTGACCGACAACCATTTCCTCAAGTCACATAACTGTAACACTACCAGAAGTTTTCCCGCTTTTCATAGCATGAAACATCAAGGATTATTAAAGCTACTCCCCCGTACGAAATGTAGGACATAACAGGCTACTTCTAACAATTTGCCAATTTTTCGTGGAAGTTTCACGGCACAGTTATGTACCCATGAATGGGCAGAGGAACTTTGATGCCACCATGCGAGGTCCTTTATCTTCAGAGTCACGGTAGTATAGATACTATGCACAACGCCCATAAAAAAATCGTTTTTGAACCCGTTTTTTCCTCCCGTGATTGGGGAAACAGCATTAAAAGTTTAATCTGATCAAAGCTTTCAGGAAGTTTTTCTCTTCTTCTAACTTTGGTGGCTTGCCAAGAAGGTTGGGAATGAAGATTGTTAAATATTCCATTTAATTTTTTGTACTCGAATTTTCCACTACACTCGGCCCAGTTGTATGGTTGAGCACCATGCAGCAAGCTTATCACAACCCAGTAGAACTAGGTGCGAACCCAAGCTCTTTAAACTCACTTCCTCGGCCTCATAAGTTAGTTGGGCACAAATCATCATTAGGTCATGGAACTGGCCATTAGAAAGGGATTCAATGTCTCAGTCCCAAGTAGTCTACAAGTTTTTTAGTTTTACATACGGTCTGTCTAGATTTCCTTAAGCAAAAATAACCCAGAAAACCATCGCTTACCTTGGTAATAGCAATAATAAATGTAGGGATTGTGAAGATCCGCACCAAAAGGATAAGAATAGACCGCGCGGTTATGATTGTGATCATTCTCTGTGTCATACAGTATATACTCCAACGTATGTGTTGTTTTCAAAACTTCTTGGCAGTTCTTACTGTTAAAAGCTATCAGATAGAAAGGCTTGTCTATTGGCAGCTCGATAGGTTCGCTGTACGATCCAACATCTTGACAACAAAACCTTATCTCAGTATCTGATTTGTACGTTCCAGCAGGGACAGTACCGGATTTGAAATTCAAATTTATTCCATGTTTCCCGTTTTCATCATCCCACAAGACGCTTCCTTCTCGTAGATAGCCTGGACATGAAGAGCCTTTTTTATAAATGCAGTATTGACCGTAAGGCCAACCAAATCGACCGTTATCAACAGCACCGGTCGTAATTGTCTTGAAGCAGAAGCTTTGAGTAACATCTCCCGAACTCAGTACTGAAGCATTAAGGTGAAAGTTTGGAGATTTCGCCGTAAGGCTTTTGTCATCCTCCAAATCTTGATAGATATATCCGGTCTCCCAAGAGAAACCGTCAGCCCCAGGACAACCAGATTTAGTCATAGGTAGACCGTATTTTCCCGACGGCCATTTGACGGAATTGCCAAAAGCTGAAATGAGAAAATATCATCAGTTATCCGTACACCGTATTTCTGAATAAGCGCCTGGTCGCGAGTTTGAAATTTAGGCGTAGAGGAGGGGTGCTTCAAGGAGGGCGCCGAATTAAGGGGGTGGGGGAGCTATTATGTTAAAAGCAATAGTACCAAAATCAAAAGAACAGATCTAGTATATAAAGGGCGCCTTTGGCCAACTCGTGGATAAAGTATTTATGAGATATATAAAAAAAAGTTGCTATCAGTAAACTGAGGTGCTAAAAAAAGGTAGAAAGTAGAACCATTGTGAGTATATAAATTATAGTACTTAAGTGTGCGATGGAAACCACGGGACGAAATATCAAGAATTCTTAAACGGAAACTTGGATGAAATATGTGAAACCGTTGCGGAAACACGACGGTTAACACGCGTTTCATTTATCTTTGCCGCACTTTTTAGTTGCTTTTGTGTGAGCATTCTATTCTTGTCAGTGTCTTGGTAGTACATTCGTCAGAAACTGGGTTCCGACGCCTAAACATACATAAAGTCTATTTCTGTATGTCTTCATTAAAATTTGATTATACCTTTCAAGGTTGTAGGTTAGATCTAAGAGTACGTATTTACCACAATGTGTCGTAACTAACTATGCCTACCTTTGCAAGCGTTACAACTCTTGCGGCAACTGTATAACATGTAGTTTGGGTTCTTTTTACATTCACCGATTGATGCCCAATACGAACAAAGCTTGTTGTTATCCTGACAACCTTGCAACAAAACATGAAGCATGCAGTGCTAAAACAAGCTGATCAAAGATCTTCTAGAATTAGGCCCTTAGAGATTTAGGCCCAATCAGGCCCTTATGTAAATTAGGCCCTTACAGATTTAGGCCCAATTGGGCCCTTACAGATTAAGGCCCAATTAGGCCCTTACGTAAATTACAGAAATGTTATAGCATGAAATTGCAATCGAGTTTACAAACGTGTCCTGTTTTGTAATTGAAACTGGCTGTTCCTAATTTTTTTGTAATTTCCCAATGATAATGTTAACATAAATCAATACAGATGTGAGCGGATATCTAAAGTTCTAAAAACAAAGTTGAATTGTACAACTTCAAAATTAGATGATCCAATCTATGACACAATAAGATTACCAAATTGTCAAAGTTTAAAACAAACAAACAAACAAACAAAAACAACATACGAAATACGAAACAATAAATCACGTAAATATGGATTGTTGTTCCTGTTAGCTGGTTACATTACACTTTCACATATATTTACATGTAGTCTTACTACTCATCCAGAAAAAACTACACAAAACATTGGAAAACATAGCAGAAAAAACACAAGCGCACGAAAAGTAATACACATTAAAAAAAAATTGAGCAAATTGAATACATTCTATGCTGACTCTTGGCCCGAAATATATTCTTAATTTTTTTTAACATTTTGTATCATCTCGGCCACAGCTTTCCAATGTAAAAAGGTTCTTATTCTGCATACTACAATCAAAACACAAAAATCAGTAAAAAGTAAGGAAATGAGAAGAGTGATCAATTTGTTTAACCCTCGCTTGGAGTTTTGTGGCTTTTGGAAATTTCACAGTGAAACACGAACTAAATGGACACCTTCGGAACTTTTAAGCTTGCTAGCGTCCGCTTGATACAGCATGTCAGGTTTCATACATTGCGCAACATTGGTTAATCTCTATTTGCTAGAAAACAAAAAGTCGAATTGGCGTTTTACGAAAAGTGGAGAAAGTAATCCACCTCTGTAAATAATTACAAAAAATAGGTAGAATTGTCTTAAAGCTTCTCAGCCAACACAGGTTTTTTTCTTATGAAAAACGCTCAGTTTTATTGCCCTCCTCTGTCCGCGCGATACATCCAGAGGTTTCCTCTGAACACAAGTGTAGTTGAAAACAGAATACTAAATATGGGAAGAAAATTCTGGGACTTGAGTCACAACATGGGGTTCGTACGGCACAGGTTTCGCTGTATTATGTCTGCAGTAAAACAAGGCTGTCAAGCGTTTTCTGGTGGCAAGGAATCCTCAGAATCTTGTCACACTATTTGCTAGTCTGTAATGGCAACTACGTTAGTACCCCTTCCAGAGGCGGTTTTCAGTGAAAGAGACAGCCGGTCGTTGAAAAAAAAAAAGAAGATGGTAAAAGAATAAATGTATGCACCGTCCGAGTGGACAAAAATTTGTGGCCCTAATAGAGCGCTAAAATTATTGCAATTGATACTTGCTTGTAGTCTCACCACGAAACCTTTGAAAATTATATTTTTAAAATGAACAGATGTTAATGGTGGACTATAGGCGCAAAATATCAGACATTTTGTGCAACAAAGCTGAGATATTCTTGTCTCTTCCGGCGAACGAACCTTTAAACACAATAATCCCATCGCCTGTTATTCTGATGATACAACGTCGAACTGCTCAAAATGAAAATTCACAAGTTAAGACTTGTACCTTCTATCCACGAAAAACTTAAGAGCACAATTCCCAGAACTCTGCGCCAGACAGCAACATTCCAAGAACTTCTCCGTCCGTCAGTCATTATCCTCAGCTTTTAACCTCTTAGGGCACAGAAAAGCTAATGAAGTGGATTCGACACTGCTAGAAAAGTTTATCGGCCAGCCATGCACCTCGTCACGGGAGGTATACAGGTCAAATACAAATAACCATTTGATGAATATGTCTATCATCAGTTGGTGATTTTGTCCTTTAATCTGCTCGGTAAAAAAAGCAACAAAACCTGAAAAATGTTTACTTAATACTTAGTAACACGAGAGCGGCACTGCGGTAGTGAAGTATTAGTGTCGTATTTTTATGCTTTATTTTATTCTTGATTCGAGTTCTCAACTTCCATCGAAGATATTCATACTGCACAGTTATTCATGGTGCGCCATGTGAAGGAGGAGATAGAAGTAGATAGTCGGCAGTCTGGATGAATTCATTTAACTGAGGAGTGTCACGATAATTACTTGATAACAATAGGTTGATAAACGCCAAAAAAAATGACGTAATGTACAAAAACGAACCTGGATAAACACGGATTACAAGAGGTTGAGGGTACACTCTTGAAAATTGAAAAAAAAGGGCCGTGGCTCGCCTGCCTGCTACGTTGAAATTACGCGTACTTTTGTGACTCTATGTGCATGATGATGAACTTACGGTGACATGGCTTAGAATTAAGCAAATAGATTTAAATGTTTTTTTTTTTGGTTTATTTATATAATAAGCACATGCACATGACATAAAACCTCGGTCATTTTAACACCGAAGAAGGAATAATAAATAAAAAGAAGCTAAAATGAAACACCAGATGCAGACCATTATTTCTTTTTTCCCAAAGAATTAACGATAACTTGGAATATACATAGAACTTAACTATGTTCACACCGATAAGTTTTTTTCTTTTTCAAATTTTGTTCCGCTAAATCTTTCCACGATCTGGACGGTAGTGAAGTGAGCATTCTCACAGATGTGTGACGTCGCAGATAAAGCTCTTGAGAGATTCAAACTAAATCTTTTTTCCCTGAACTCCGCGCAGTCTCCTTGCGCAATAATCGTTAACCCTTTCACTCCACGGAATGCTCAACATGTAAAATCTCCTCACAATTTCACCATCTGTCAACCAAACATGCGAAGAGAATTGAAAAAATGATCCATTCTCTTGATGCAGCACCAAATTCTCAAGACTAACAGACAAATAATTGTATTTATAGAAGGTACGAGAGTTACCTTTCAGATACTCGTATTGAAAGGATAAATCATTATTGTTCCTCTCAGTATAACACCGCATCTTAATACAACGAACATAAATAATGAGGCCTCCTTCAAGTTAAGTCTAAAGTAAACAACCCTTGACGTAGATGTCAATTCCTTACATTTTAAGACCAAAGAAAAAACAACAATCCGGATATGAAGGTTTTGTGCCATAATTGTTTAGATTAACATGCCACGACAGCGCTAATTGAAAGGATGACCTTGAAGAAAAAAAGCACCGTCATGGAAAATGAATAGATACGTTTGTGTTGTCAGAGAATTGAAGATTCAAATTTTTTTATTTACTGTTAAAATCCTGTGGCAGCGTGGAGTATTAGCAAGACATAACTCTGTCTGCCTAAACAGGTAAACTTTCCTGTTATCTAAGAAGGTTATCCAGCTATCCAGCTTTCTTATGTGAATTAGAAATTGTCACATATGTCTTTAGCCAAGTCTTATTGTTCACTTCAGGCCCGTCCCTATAACAACCTAAACATTAAAAACAGAAAAGTGTCAGTAAATTTTTTTTCCTTTGACCTTCTTTTCTTTGATATTTTGTAAATTATCTACAATTTATCACTGGTTTAATGAAGAGGTTAATTGCAACCCCAAAAAGTATTTAAGCTCTGCCTCAATGCAGATAGAGTTTACCACATCTACCCAGCAGATTGAGTGGGAAATGCCAGAAAAAAAAGACAAATACTGACTTTTGCGAATATTTTTCGAATATTTCGCTTTGCAAATGTGTACAATGTATACAGCGAATACGTGAGATAATACTCCATAATGACGATAAACAGGCGCAAAAAAGAGTACTAAAGTATTTCTTTAGAGTGCTCTTTTGACTGCGAATAAACCTTAAGACGACCACGCGTCTCCCAAAATTGCCTCCAACGACTGAGGAACGTTTAGCACGATACGCGCATAACCATCTAGCACAACTTCACAGACGTGTAAATATGTAGCGGCACATGCACTCTCCCACCCGGTTCTGGGAAGTTAGATTAAATTGGATATGGTCTCCAAGTAAACGTACTGTTCATAACGCCGATTTTCTGTCCTTGGATCCTTGTGACTTGAATATTGGTTACTGAAATAAGACGAAGTGAAATTTCATCGGTGTGACATGGACCTATTATCATAAGTTTATTGTCATAAGTCCAAAAATCAACTTACCCTTCATATAAAGGGTTCTCAGTCAGGTGGCCTTTTTCTGAATTAAGTCTAAAAAAATAAGGTTCTGATAATTTTTACATTATCTCACACATAGTCCTCAACTTCCTTAAAGTATTTTAAGCATACATTATCTAACAAATGAACTTATATAAATTGAAGCAACATATCGTTTACTTTGAAGAGCAGAGAAATTGTCTTTCAGTACCAATTGGCTATAAGAAAAGGACATTAAATTGCTCAAGCTACGCCTGAAATCGCAAACACGCAAAAAAAACTTGCTCCTGGTAACAAAGAAGACATTAAACATAATCTATTGCAAAGCGAGAATTTGACATTAATGGAAATTACCGGTTGTCATCGCTTTGCTTATCTTCGAAGAACAGTTCCTCCATTTCACCACTGAAGGGAAAAAACAAGTTTAGGAGCTCAGAAATGTTAGTCTCCTAACACTTAAAGAGACGTATGGTAGCAAGTGGGTCGAGAGGTACCGGGTTGACCCCTAGTAGGGAGTTGATGTATTGTGCTACTTGGCGAAACTTAACCTTAGCTGTCATCGCGCATTTCTCCACCAAAGGGTATTATGGGTGCTAGAAAACGTTCAAGAAATCAAGCGAAGTACTGGCAAACACCTGCCTATGGACCGGTAGCTTGCAGAGGGGAGATAACAATACCTTCTGACACTTAACGCTTCAGACACTGGAAATGTCGGAATAACCTTTAGGGAAACCTTACAAAGCACAGGGGATAGCTTGATGGGCTGATGGGCTTGTATTTTGCAAAAGAGGCGAGCAAGACTCACAGTCACTTCATGCTTCAAAAACTGGAATTTTCGAAGAATTTGCGAGGGAAACATGGTGAAATACAGGTGATGGCCCTCCGATGGACTGTTATCTCGCAAAGGGGAAAGGGCAATTCTCTCCGCCGCTTCATGCTTTAGAAAATGGAATATTCATTGTAAAGATGGACCTTTACGCACACAAAGTGATTGAGCCTGGATTTTAACATGACCCTTGACGTATAAGTTCGACAGCGGAAGAGAAAACTGCAGCCGTGGCACTATCGCATACCTGTCTCCGTACATATTGATGGGTGACAGTGGAGTGCTGGATATGCTTGATTCTTTAACACTGTTGTATCTTACTATTTCATGGGAATGGTTGCGCCTCTTACGAAAACGATGCCTGTGAAAGAAGAGGAATGACATACGTCAATGAATAAAGCCATTGATCCAGTGGGAGTAAGATCAACATACAATGACAATCTCATCAACAGCAACAGGAATAATGCTATCCATATCAGTTGTCTTTACTCAGGGATAGAAGCAGAGGAGTAGATTACAAAAATACAATTCTCCAGGGTGTCAGGGGCGTGCATGCAGATTTTTGTATCATTCTTCACTTTTTCTGGACAAAAAAGGGGTCACTTGTATCTAAAATCACCCTCCATCCCTCCTACTGCTCTTAGCGAAACTCTTGGCATAATTGTCTCTCATCCTTTATTCCACCTCAGAAATGAAATGAAATAGAGAAATCCTTTTGGGGAACCACGTCCTCTCGGGTTCACTCAGTAGAGTCCGAGCCAGATACACGTAACAAGAAGCTCCTGGTACCCTCCTTGGTATAGAATCAAATGATGGAGAATGAACTCCATTCACGCACCTTCTTTTGCAAAGCTGGCAAACCAGAAGAAAACTGACAAAGACCACTACAACAAAAGAGCTGCTCGCGATAATTACGTATTTCAGCGATACGCCCATGACTTTACGAGACAGCATTTCTTCGTTCCTGTACGATTTAACATCATGAATACTTCCAGTTGACTTCCATTCAGCCTCAGTGCTTGCTGGAACTTGTGAAGTAGATATTCGCCTTTCTTTCAGTGTTGCTCGAGTATTTTCAGTGGTCGTACTATGAGCTGTTTCAGTAGCTTCCATTGTTGATGGTGCAGTGTTTGATGAGGAACTATTGCTTTCTATAGCCGCCGAAGTTGACTGTTGAGTTGTTTTCACTCTCGGAGAAGTTGGTTCTGAAGTATTGTACATTGGTGAAGACGTTTCCGTTAAAGCTGTGGATGTCATTTCTAGATTGAATGAAAAAATTTAAAGTGCTACAGGCGATGATTTTATTGATATTAGGGGTTGAAATGTAAGGAACCCACCAGGACTTAGAGCAACGCTGGGGACTCGAGCGATGGAAGATGAGGAAAATGCAAAGGAGGGAAAAGTTCTGAATTTGTGGGTCGCTTCAGATTCACACTTCTCTTGAGAAACATCTTTACTTACAAAGGAAAATAGGCAACGGTTGCAGATACAGAGGGCTTTTTCGAGATTTCCTTAAAGTGAATACAAAACAGTCAGCAATCAGCATTGATGTAGAAGAAGCAGTCATGTTTGCCTGCTCTCTGGTGATTTGCAACACTCAGCAAACATTTTACTTCAACATCCTTCTCTATCCTTCGGGTAAAGCTTACCTGTGAGGATCATCTCTAGGTCAAGTATGATTTACCTCATTTTATTGTTCTTCATAGTAACAAAGAACCTTCTAAAGCGGAGGAAACTTTAAACTAAATAGAATGACATCAACAGCTAATCAGCTAAAAGTATCCAACCTGCTAATTTCGGGACTGTCATATAGGATGCGTTGAAACCTTTGGCTGTTATAACGTGATCTGAATGAAACGTAACTATCATTTTATTGGTCGATGACTGTATGATTGGCAGAGATGAAATCGTTGCACAATATCTTCCAAGCGTTGTCAAGTCACCTTTCAGTGACTCTTGTTGTATATCTACATAATCGCAGCCGCAGCGGTTGTTTCCGCACGAGGAAGGATTGGATTCGAGTTCGAAGACTCCAAACTGTAGTCTTATCACGTGATCTCTGGGGGCAGTAATGTTCCACTGACAGTCTTGAAAGTTGTGGTAATTGCTTGGGAAATATGGTGAGGAAAACTCTCCGCTTGCCTGATTTAAGTTCCATTTGCATTCTACAGAGAGTTGTCAGTGTAAGAAATTGCATTTATCTTTAAGTGATTTCAGACAGAGAAGCATCGAATAAACAGCACCCTGAGTAACCCTTACATCTCTATGCGTTCTGTGTACAGGTGTTTAGTTAGGAAGTTGCCTTTACTGTTTAATAAAATAAAAAAACAGAAGCATCGAATAGGTCGCTGTAATACCACCTATCCCTGCTTTCCCTCAACAAAAACTTTAGGAAAAAACACAAGGCAAGTTGATAATACTTAAATAATGACGTGGAAACGATAATACCAAGGTATTCTCCTACTTTTAAGATTAAGACTTCAAGATATATCTTTAAACTTTAATGCCTGAGTGCGTTTCACCCAGACAGTGAGGATGTGCCCGTTGGGAGCGTGTGCTTTCGCGCCCCAAACTGAGAAGGCGGCTCAAATCGTATCAGCTCATCGTAACATCTTTTGTTGCGAATTAGCGTTTAAAGGCACTAATTCTGCGTTCTATTACAAAGATATTATAACCTCATTTATTTCTTACCTCTGTAGTAACAATAGTGAATCGTGGGTTCCTTACGATCAGCTCCATAGGGAAAAGGATAAACCCTGTTGTCCATGTTGTCTGTATTTTCGGTATCAAAGACCACATATTCAAGCGAATACACAGCACCCTGGACTTCTTGACAAGTTGTGGACCCAAACGCCATGAGATAAAAAGGCTTAATGACCGGCAGTGCTATTCTTTTGATAGCAGACCCTGTTGTCTTACAACAAAAATATATCAAAGTGTCCTGGTTGTAAACTCCTGCGGGAAGTTTTCCTTCTTTGTTATTTCGATTGGATCCGTTTTTTTCGTTGTTGTCATCCCAACGAACGAAGCCTTCGTAAAATTCCTGAGGACAGAAGGCGCCCTCTTTGTAAATACAGTATTTTCCGTTGGGCCACTTAGGCTTTCCTTTATCGGTTGCTGTGGAGTTTTTCACGCAGAAGTGTTGCGTTATGTCTGGCTTTCCTACCTTAGCTTTTAAGTGAATGCTCGTTGAATGTGCGTTTCTATTGCCATCGTTTTCTAATTCCTCAGTTCGGTGTCCTGTATGCCACGTAAATCCGCTGCTATTGGGACATCCCGAGTTTGCCATCGGTAGAGCATACGAACCCGCCGGCCACGAAGAAGAAGCTGAATTATTAATAATATATATTAAAAGGGAAATTTTAATTGCTCTTCCTATGTATTCGTTGCAGTAAATTCAGTTTTAGTGAATTTGTTTCGCTCTGAGGTTGGTTACAACCAATCGCATTTTCTCGCTCTGTGGACTATGCACATGTATTAATTACTTGCAGTTATCATTGTCTCGTTGTTGTATGTTTTTTTCCCGATTGGCTGTTTTGATAACCGCAGCGGTCTGAAGGAACACCAGAGGAGTCACTGTACCTACATATTTCGGAGGGACCAGCCGTTATTTATCTTCTGGAAGGGGCAGAGGGGGGTAGGGGAAAGGGGGGCGATAAAAATTTACCCGATCCTCCATACGTCTCTGGGGTGTTCTTGTGATCGCCCTTCATGGCGACGATTGATTCCCCCTTCCTTTCCCCTGAAAACCATGTACCTTTCTCTTCCCCCCCCCCCCCCCCAAAAAAAAAAAAAGAAGAAAAAGAAAAAGAAAAACTTCACCCCTCGCAGCCCCCACGCGCCAGATGTTAACTTGAACCAAGTTATTTCAATGCATCTCCAGCCAGGATAGGCAGGAAAGATCGATATTTAAATCTATGAGGTGAAAAGGTCAAAGAATTTCTTCCGTGCGATGACTGATTGGAGAAAATACAAGGCCAGATATCAAATATGATAGTGTGGTAAGAAAAGCCGCCAAGATCTGTCTGTCTGTCTTCGATTGAAAAATTGCGATCAGTGTGCCCCTCTTCTCAATTCCGAAGTAGAATAAAATAAATTTTTGCAGCAAAGACATTGTAACCAAAATGGTATCATGGTTTATCTGAAATCAATCCATCCGCTTGAAATCGAAATAAGAAAAGAATGTTCTTACTACTTTGGACCCGTAGGACCCGTATGACTAAATTTAGATCAATGAACCGGATATAGCTCTTATTTATAACATAAACACATATGGTTGTTATTTCAACGCCTTTTCTACCACTGACATGTCAGAAACTAATAAGTTTTAAAACGGCTTAAGTGTCAATTGTTCATTTAGAAGTGGTAAGAACTTAATCGTTCCAAAAGAAGCCCTGCTTTACATGCAACTTCAATACTTCGTGCTGAAAGGGCGTCATCATCAACTTACACAGTAACCGTACGTGTCTAAACCCTTTCTTTTTCTCATGATTCTACGGTAAATTGCCCAAATACGTGAGTGGTAAGCGGAAACTCTTGACTTACGGTTGATCCATATTCTGGCGCCTCCGTCAACCTCGTGTCAGTTTGGCGTTTGCCATGGCTTTTAGCCAGTTTTGTTTCAAAACCACGCATCTGTTTTTTTTCTTCAAATTCTACTAATGCACTGAAACATAACGAGTCAACTGTCTCATAAATTTCACTGTCGCCGTCTGCGTTAAAATCCAACAAAAAAATCTCACATTGACTGAAAGATGCAGCGTTTTTCTCCTATCCTTTTTTTTTTTGGACGCGGAGAGATACATGCTGTGAAAGCCTGTAAAGATTCAATGATGTCTTGCTGGTTAAAAGTATTTGAACTGTCAGAGGTCCTTTTGGTTACCTCTACGGAATTCGTAATTTCTACTAAGCTAGCAAGAAAAGTCTTAGTTGTTGGTTTTGATACTTTTTATCAGCCTTGTTTATCCTTCCTATCTTAATCACCGTACCGATTAGATCGGCAATCGGGGCAATTTAAACCTAAAAAGAGAAACATCACTCGCCGCTTCAGGCTGTGACACAAAAGTTAAGTTCCAATCTTTGGGTTTCAAACGTATTTTTTTATCGCTAATAAAGCTTTTTCAAATTTCTTTCTTCTCAAACTGTTTAAAGTTAATGGCACAGTTCACAAAGGCAGATCTACTCTTCTAATGTCGAGGTAAGTTGTACATGAGCTTGGGACATCGTCATCGAACTTCAGCTAAACGTGTTTCAGTTGATACCAACAGTACGATAAATCTTACTTACCAGTGACGTGAACGAAACACCAAGCTGCATCGAAAGACATCGCGAATAAGATCAAGCTATAAAACAACTCCATCTAAGCAGATTATTCACCGTTCATTCGAGAAAATAAAAACAAGCTCGTCTGACACGGTTGCTGTTATAGATGTTTATCTTTGTGCTGTCTGGTTGTAACCGGGCTAAGTCTAACGATCGTGTGATTGGTCGATAAGACGCCACGTGTCCTTTAGGCCCTTGTTCACTTATCAGCCTTCTACTGATGAGTGTTATGATTTCAGGAAATCCATAGAGACAGAGGGTCTCCTGGCAAGAGCTACTTTTTACTCAGTTTTACTGCCTTAATTCCAACGATATTCTGCTTACTTCAAATCAATAAGTGACGCACATAGTTTTCCTGTGAGATAAAAGGATAATAAGAGCTATTCAATTAGCTAACCTGTCCTTCTGAAAAGGGATTTCACTCAGAGATATGACAAGTTTTCCTCGATAAACGACTAAATGTCAGATTTTTAACAAACATGAGGACTAATCGTGGAGATTGTTTAACGTTTAGCATTTTTCCCATGACAAGTTTCTTTAGCAGCTTTCACTAATCAATAGTGAGGTTGCCTGACATGGAAACCGTGACCTGTTTTATTCTATAAAAGCATCCTAATGAAATACATCATTTCATGGTATAACATACCGTGATGATGACGTATCATGCAGAATGCTGAACAAAGGCAAGTGACATTTTATGGCATAAGTAGAAGAAGAAGAATGAGGTGACAAGCTTCAAGGCTTAAGAGAGGGAAATACATCAAAAGACAGTTGTAATTATCTCCTTTCATTGTATCTTTTCGGGTACAGTAATTTTCTATAAACTAATCTTAAAATTATTCTCACACGACATTCATGCTGATTATTTGGTATAGTAGCGGTTTTGATTAGTGCGATTTTGTTGCCAGATCATGAACACAATGATGGGTCAATGATGACTTGAGTGAGGTCCACCGGCGCTGACTCTGCAACTGTTGATTGATTTAAAATCCTCAACTTCAGCGGCTCAATAAAAGGAACTTACACTAATCTAAAACAATAGAAGATAAAATACGTATAAATTTAGAAGTAAGAAGGTCCCAATTGTAGAGGACGAGTGAAGCAATCTATTAAAGTTGATCTTGTAGGGGTGAGTAGTGCCATAAGGAAATGTTTCCGGGTGACACGTGCACTTCGACAACCCTTGCGAAGGACGTCGTTAGAGCTAAAAGGAGATTTGTTTGTCAGGCGAATCTCAAAGGTCTGTTTCTTGACAACTAATCGATCAGCTTTGTCGTAATCGTATCAGCAGTAAAGATCAAGCAGCAAAGTCATTATCAGTTATGATCGGTCGGTTTCGTTTCAGTTTCCTTTTGTAAAGTTAGGTAGTTCTGTTTAGCCTCTTGCTACTGCTGGGTTCAAACCAGCGACTTTATTACTATTATTAGAAAAGGTAAGGCTTATCCATCGTTCTTAGCAGTTTTTCATCGTTTTTATCACAACAGCTAGTATACATCGCTGTGGCATTTTATGGTTCAAACTGATTAATCAAGTCAAAAGAGAGATACTCTTTAAAAAATGCACCTCACCTGTCGTACACGTGATTGTTGTTACCGGACACAAAGCAAATATTCTTTTCTTCGGTGACGCTAACAGTTAGAAGCGTAAGAAGAAGATAAGTGAAGGAGGGAGGGGTGGAGGGAGAAGGGGGGAGGGAGGGAGGGGTGGATAGAATGACATCAATATTTCGTTGCTATGAAGTCCATCCAAATAGACCAGAGCTGAAATCTATGAATAGCTCGAGGTACTCGTGATTTGCATGACTACAGTGGCTAAACAAATTCTGAAAAAGTGTATGAAGCTGGAAAAAGGAGCCTACATTGCGATGCTCCCTATCTTCCCGATGAGAATTCAATCTCTTCACCTCAAAGTAGAACCAAAAATTAATTAGCCCTAACAGCAAAAGACACCAAGACCTCACCTTGCATACAAAATGTTGTCAGTGGACTTTTCTATCAGGCTCGCATATCTAAAGTCGAACAATATCAATGGAAAAATTAAGTTCCTGGAAATGAATAATGCTAAAGACAATAAACACAATTCATATCAAACTGGTTTTGCTATTAAGGAAACGTCGTATTTTTTATTATCTTTCTTTCTCCTCTGAATCAGTCTTCAACTTTCTGTTTTGTAGTGAGCAGTCAGCAGATCTCAATTCGCAGTAGCTGTATATTTATATCAAAAAAAATTTCAAAAATTTCAATACCTTTCATTGTCAGTTATAGAAAGTCACAATATGACTAACATACGCCTACCTGTTTTCTTGATCAGTCTCATCAACAGCTAAACCATCCATCGTATCAGATAAGACTGCGTCGCTCTTGTTCTTGCTAAATTTGACATTAAGCTTTTCGTTATAAACATCTGTGCCTTCTTTCTGACTATGAAGGAAAACATCTGTATTTCATTTTTACAATAGGAAATAACCCACTATCTTGGTTAGGTGGCCTTTAAAAGTTTGGAACAATTTAATACAGAAGAGCCGTTAAAGTTAACAATCACAAAAAGTACTTCACTATATTCTTAGTTCTTTCAAGGCGGGTCCTTTTAAATTGTCGTTCACTGAAAAAATGAATTGATGGTCTACCTTCATGATCAGGGCAGACACATCAAGGAGAGGAGGATTGACCAAAAATGTAAACGAAGAAGTTAAAGCAATTAAGGATCTACAAAAGGATCACAGTGGAAACTGTCATAATAAGATACTTATGATTTACCAAGATACTTAATTTACCATTATAACGTTGTGCTATGAATTTACTGCCATCCCCTTCTTGAACTGCAGTCCTTTAAGCTCACGTTTCTGAGGACTAGCAACGATGGTTTGAGACGTAATAAGCTCATTATATCAAGGGTAAATTACGTTCTGCATTACACTGACATTTGTCCACGACCAGCAACATAATCAAGGATCCACAAAAGGGTTAAAGTGGAAACTGTCACAATAAGCAACTTATGACAACTTAATTTACCATTATGACGTTGTGCTATGAATTTACTGCCATCCCCTTCTTGAACTGCAGTCCTTTAAGCTCACGTTTCTGAGGACCAGCAACGATGGTTTGAGACGTAATAGGCTCATTATATCAAGGGTAAATTACGTTCTGCATTAAACTGACATTTGTCCACGACCAGTAACATAATCAAAGTTGGAGATAAGTGAGAACTACGTAAATTAACCAACACGTATTTGATCGAAAATACCTGATAAATTTCCTCTTATTCCTCATGAAAATAACTGCTAATCCCAAAAGACAGAGCACTAAAACAGCAGCAATAACTGCTACAACAATAAGAGCTGTTCTATCGGCATCGCCGCTTGTTCCTATCTGCTGTTCTGGAGGGTTCGCTCCCGAATGTTCTTTGTTGTCAGATGAAGTGTTCTTAGTTTCCCCTGTTGGTTTTCCGGTTCGTTCCTCTGGGATGGGCGATTTTACAGCAGATGTCCTTTGATTCGCGGAAGGTTCCATAGTACCAAGAGCTCTTTTTGTGGTGGAAATTCCTGCTTTAGATGGAGCTATGTGGGGAGAGAGAGGTTTTTCGTGGCTGAAGCTCTTTTTGTGGTGGGAGCTTATGTTGTAGTTGGAGCTCTTCGAGCACTGGAAGGTTCTGTCGCAGTTGGAGGTGCTTTCGTGGAAAAACGTCCTCCTGTAATGTAAAATTTCTTCGTCGAACGTTTTATTTTAGATGGTGGTTTACTTGATATATTGGGGCTTAGAGTAGCTTTTGGGAAAGAAACAAGATCCACCGCTTCATTATTCAAAAGTTTGGATTTAGAATACTGGACCGTCCAAACGTACGAAGCCTTGGATATTTCTAGATTAGTTCACAAATTGACACGTTGGTAGTTAAACCAACTTTTATTGGTAATTGGTAGAGAGAGCCTCTTAATATGACTAACAAGAACTTAAGCTAAAATAATGATGAACGATAGAGAGTATTGCATCAGTTTAAAAAAAAAGCAGACCAACTTACCTGTAGGATCAAAGCATGGACACAACCTGCGGATGTAAGTGTTGTTGGCCGTGTGACAGTCAATGGTCCCAGGGATACCCTTAAATCCGACGCATACTCCAACCCATTTCGTGACGTGAGACTCCGCAAAGTAACAAGGGTGCTCTTCACTTTCATATTGTTCGCTGCCGTTGATAGTTTTGCACGAAATTCCCAGAGATTCGAATATAGATAAAGCAGATGAACCTGGAAAGCTTTGCCCCGTTTTAGCACATTGAAAACCAAATGTTGCACAAACTGAATCGCAGTTCTGTCCAGGACAAGTTGCCAAAAAGTATTTGATCCCTAAAAAATCACAATAAAAGCTAAAATAAAGGCCTAACGAAGTTGAAAGTAGGGAAGCAATTCTTGGGTCTATTTACACAAGTGATGATTTCAATTTTCCATATGCTGTTCCCAAGTTAGTAGATCGTCCCATAGACGAAGATTTTACCCTGATATAGCAAAGATTTTGCCTGGGCCACTTGGTACAATCCGTATAGACCATGTACTAGAAGACAGTACAATTAACCTGGAACATTAAAGGGCTAGCTCAACCTCGAAAGAATAATATTTTGTTTCTTGATCTTCGCTTCCCAAGTAGTTCTGCAGGTTGTGTTATTTAGTGAATACATTCTATCCTACCTAAAGACGTTGCAACCAACAAAGGAAGTGTTCTTTTTCTTTGGCTTTTTTTTTTATTATTTTTCTAAGTCACCATGTCCAAATCAAGAAAAATTGATAATTTTTAGAGAACAATTATGTCGCGTGTTTTGAATTTAGCCAAAGTGAACTGATTGAATAGGAGAATCTGTCGACATATATGTCTGACTCATTATCGGTGGTAATGTTTTGACCGTCATGTGCCCTTCTCGCTATATTTGGCAAAATTTTTCGACGATACTAAAGGATGCGCCCTGGCCGGTTTATTTTTCAATAACGCTTTTCTTCTGTAAACAGCCATGAAATTTTAAAGATTTAATTCACTTCCAAGTCTTTTCAAATCAACTTTCTTTTAAAATAACTCAGTAAGACCTTATTACAATACATCGGTAACTTTCAGCATGCAAGTGCAACCCTAATTTTACTAGTTTGTCAAACTCAGCGATAAAAAATTTTGCGTCGGAATACCTGTCGCAGTTGCCCATGCGCCATCTGTCAGAAGAAACGACATGAACAAGCCAAGAAATTGTTCATGTGATAACAGCATTCTCCCAGAAAGAAACCGTACTTTATCAGTCCACTCAGAAATACTTTCGATAAATGTCACCCTCTGTAGCTTCTAAGCAACCCAATCGCGGCCAAATGAAATGTTGATAATGCTTTTTGAGTCAAGTATCATGTCAGGTCAATCTCAGGGTGGTCTTTCACGTGCTTCAAATTGATGAAAACAAACCTAACTCTGTTTATGTAATAAGTTTTTTGAGTTAGTTCTTCGTATTGAGCAAATATCTTCTTTCTGCGAAGACAGGTTAAAACGCACATTTCGAAAGGAAAAAACTGTGGTTAATGAAAGCTTGTAAGTCCATCATTTGTAAGGGCCAGCGAAGTGTACGAACTGAGGCCAGGTAATCAGCTGAAAATACATTGACATGTTTTCCCTGACAGGTGTCAACACTATTTACTCAGCACTCACAAAAGCACACAAGACTTGTGAAAAAAAGTTGTCAACAAAATTTGATTTCCCCTTCACCCTTAGATGCATTTCCACCTTGACAAGTCTGCTTGGTCAAGAAACTGATGATTCAGGTTCTTAGACAAGTGGGCTTCTAAAAGAAAAACACGTCATAATCTTTTAACCTGCGAGACAGGCGTCGAGGGCTGTGAGGCGAACGAAAAGGACAATACTTAAGCTGGTGTCTCGCTACGCCCGTGGTCTTCGCGCTCGTCTTGCGCTACAACCTTCAATTTTCACTGCCAAGGAAAACTACTCAAAATCAACAGTCTTGTGTATTTTTCCCTAAGCCTTCGATACTCTTATCAGATCCCTCACGCGCTATAAAGTTGTTTACTTCGAAATAACTTTGTGTTTGAGCACTCACGCATTTAAAAAATGCCTAGCGGACTGGCATCAAAGTTTCTTAAAGCCAGTCCGTTAAGCATTTAATTTTCTTTGCTAAATCACGCAAACTTAGTTGCGTGATACGGTATTTGTAAATAAAATTAATAACCTTACATCTGCTTGAAAATTTTATCATTTCTAGCGACAACTTTTTGCAATGGAACTCAACCAGCGTTCGGTTTAGTTAAGGTCGTGATAACCTATCCACCGCCCTAGATTAACTACATTTTGTAGTATCAATCGCATCAGCCCGGCCAAGGTCAGAAATAATCAGTTTTCATCAGCCTCCCAAGAGACTGTTGGAGAATGCGCACACGACGGCGCAGTGCAGAGGCAGAATTGAGCGGCATATACTATGACTACAGCTAAAACACATTAAGAAAAAAATAGACTGATCAATGGAAGACCCTTGTTACTGCCTTAAATGAGCGAGCAAACGTGACTCTACATGAGAAATGTCCTCTTCCTTAGCCCATCCCAATGATGAACGACAAACAACTAAATCCCCGTAGTGTAGACTTCTCTAGACGTATCACTGATGAGAATCATCTCTAGACTTCTGCTCCTCGCCTTTCCGCCACCCACTCCTCTGCGGTTTCCGTCTTTTCCGTTTCCATTTTTAACCGGTGACACTAATACTTCCAATTGACCTTCGTTCTCAGTGCCTTTCCTGATAGCGATTGTTTAACTAGACTCTTCTCTTGTCAAGCCGTGGGGAAGTTGAAGCCTTTTGAACCCGACTGAGGAAACTTTTATTGTCATAAGTATTTCCCTCTTTTTTGAAGTACAAGGTGGCAAGTTCACAAACATACCCATTTTCAATCTTACAGGAAATAGCCCCTTCAAATTATGAATGACATAACTTTCAGTAGACGGTATTCTTTGCTCTCAAAAACCGTCATACCATTAATTCAAGAGGCTTTTATGGCGTGCAAGTTGGTTGAAACGTATTGAGTAGTTCTGTCGCTAACGTTTTCCATTCACAGCAACCCAACAGTCCAGAGTCTTCTCAGAGCTGCACTCGTCCCCTCCAAGCTTTCAACGGAATGGCGCGAGAGGAATTTGTCTTTGGGAGGGGGCAAACGAAGGATAAATGTTCCTGAAGCTTATTCGTATCGGTCACCTCGTATCATGATAATACATTTTATATCATCTTCATTCTATTATGCTCGTCATTATCGTGGGAAAGCAATGGACTAATTTTAAACATATATAGTTCAATCAAACTTCTGATTTGGGGTCATCGGAAAGTGTCGTCTTTGAAAACTTTATTGTATCGCTAAATCTGTAATATTACACACGCTAATAGGGACCTCCGTCTAATCCCCATTGATTTGGCGTATTTCGGATAATGAGAGGATTGTCCCAACCCACACATTAAGATCCTACGAGATAAGTAAGCTTATGCTTCCATACTGGGTCCCCCAGATATGCGGCTACATTATAACCTTTTACGCGAGCCAAATTCCAATATTTCATGGAGTATAAATAATTTCTTTCATTATCTCTAGTCGAGACAAAATAAAAGTCAGATATTTTTTCTTAAGTAACTTCGACCTAAAAGCACTTTTGTAACGCATTCAATTGAGCTTTAGCTTCTAAGTTTGTTGATTAAGTTACAAAGGCATTTTTATTGTTTTTCTGTGGGAAGAGGTCGGACTTCCTTGAGAAAAAAAATAGAGAAAAAACTTCTAATATTTATCTCCTCGTTCTTGAATGGTGTGACTAGCGAACCAGCGCCAGATTCCACATCGCTTACTACCTTCACTTCACTAACACAGACATAAACAAAAGTTTGTTCAGGGAAATGTAGATGGCAATCTGACCGAGCGCACGTCTCTTTCCTCAGTCTGTCTTGTTTAGAAAAAACGGTGAACACTCTCGAACCTTCTATCTCCCCTTGTACACTCCGCGCAAACCAGAAAAAAAAGAACTTAAATTTTCCATAATTAACGAATTACTAATTGAATTTTTTTTCAATCCAATAATATAGATTAGAACTAGCCATATCTAAAGTGTTAACGTTAAATGAACCCTTTCTTCTTTCATAATCGCTTTGACCCTAGGAATGTCTCTCTGTCAATTTTTTTTTGTTTTTTGTTTTATTTTACTGGTTATTTTCAACAATGAATAAAAAATATGTCATAATCCGCAACACTATATTTTACTGTTGCTGGTAAACACTACCGAAGGAATTCTTGAAATTTCTTGTGCGTACATCAATTCCTTTCATATCATATTGTTTTTGACAAAGAATATAAAGTATAAGAATCCGCATCACTATCTTTTACTGTTGCCAGCAAATATTAAGGAATTCGTGAAATTTCTTGTGCGCGCGTGAAATAAAAACCACTTCCGAAAGACGTCATAAGCTCACAACTATTTTAAAAGCTTTTGTGTGACATGCAATAAAATATAAATGATCTCAGCTCAAACACCCCAGAAACTTTTTTACAGAGAGCAGTGTAGCCATTTTAACTCAACACGGGGATCGATTTCTTTGTAGTGCTGTGGCTTAGAAATGGAACTGGCCAAGCTTGCTTTCTTTGTAATATCCCTTTATTCAGCTCACCTCACAGTAGCAGGTAAGCCTCAGATTTCAGACGCATTTCGAACTTTATCCATGCATCTCCAGTGGTGTTTAGAATAATCGTACTAAGCAAGATACACTTTCTCTTTGTTCTTGGGAAAATCTTTTCACGCCCTGTCTCAGCTCCGTTACCTATCTTTTGTTTTCCAGTAAATGCAATGACAATTTACACTTGCACGGGACGGTTCGATGATAAAAAAAACTGTCATAATGGGGATTTTTCGCAGTTTCATCAAACTCGTAAAAATGCGATCGTTACGACAGAATTACTGTAACAATCGATACCATAAGTGGACATGCATTGTTAATTGACTCGATTATAACAATGTTCCGAAAGGAAACCTGATGACACAATTAAGGGAAGTCCCTCTTCCTCTATAACTTCGACATTTCTTAGAAGTAGGCGGGTTGTTCGCCCCACTCGGAAAGATTTTCCCAATATTTTCAACTTTGCGTCAATGCAGTACAAATAGCGCGCGTAGAAATATCCTCAAGCTTTTTATTTCTTTTGTTTCACTGGAATTTTTTGCAAGGTTGCCTCGAAACCATAGCCTCGCGATAAAATCTGAAAAATCATTTTCCCTTTGTGCATTTGACATTTATCCTTTTAAATAGGTTCTAAAATAGTGTTTTATTATTTCAGCACCACTATGTCAAGATAAACATGACCAGTGCTCTGATCATGTAAGTTACTGCGGTAGTTACGACCACGTCAGGAAGCAGTGTCCACGGACCTGTAATCAATGCGGTATGTTATTTCTTTCACGCTCAGTTATCAAGATCATGCATGCATGATTTTAGTAAGGCTTTTAGGGTTTTGTTTCCAGTATGCTCATCAAGCTAATCTATTTTCGTTACAGCCTTAATTTATCCTTCGTTGTCCGTAACTCCAACGCAAAGCTTACCCACCGGAGCTACACCGCTCACTTTCGCTACACTGCAAAGTTCGATGGCTGCGCTTGGTAGCCTGGCTACTCAACAAATCGCCACTTCGCTATCACAAGTTCCATCTCGAACGCAAACATCGAAAGCATTTTCATGCAGCCTTACACAAACACGAGCTAGTCACCTTGTGTCACAGACACAAAATTTAAATGACTTCACCACGGCTCAAAGCCCGAGGGAGGTTTTACCAGGCTCCACCAGTCTTCCAACAGAAACCACTGATTATACGTCAGAGCCAAATATTTGTGAAGAAGACGGAGATAAACAACAAAATACTGCCATCAGAACAGCTGGATCATCAGCAAACATCTTGATGATTCTGACAGTCTCACGGATGTATGCATTCTTGTGACAGAGATAATATTGAAAAGATGAGAGCGCACTTCAACTAAGTGTCGTGAAACTAATATCAGAGAAAACACAACAGTCAATCAGAAGAAAGGGTATTGTCATCAAGAACCCGCGAGAACACACGGTAAAAAATAAGTGAGCCGCCTAAGACACGCAGAACCGCAAGTAACCAAGGCACGTTTGGGTTTAGTTTGGCCTCTGAGGCGCAAGTGTCCTTGATTAGTGAAATCCCGGATTACATTCAGCACTAATCAGTTGAAGATTGTCCTCGCTTGCACATGGAATCTGTTTCTCAAAGGATTGCTTTTCAGAATATCCAAAATTAGAGTTATTAATAGAGTAACCTTTTGATATAAATAGTAAACTGAAAGCGGAAAATGCGTGACACGCCGTTTAGACCAAGCTCAAGCAAAGCAGTTGGTAGATATAAATCTTTTAAACATCTGAAATCAGATCATGTAAAATTTTTCCGTTAAAAGTATGATATTTGAACTTCCCTTACAGCTTTTATTGATGTTACATATAAACGTTTTTTCAATTCCATTCCGTTAACAATTTTACTATTTATATTTGTATTTTTGTTATTTATAAATTTTCCTCACAACTGTCACTCGTAAAGTTACTCTGAAGATTAGTTAAATAGCGGATTTGCTAATATGTAAGCAAACCACTGTTCAGTAGATGAGTTTATCAATTCTCATCATTTGTTTCCTTCAAAACAAATCAAACCTATATGGAGATGTTACGTTTCAAATACTTCCGAGAGTTAAAAAGTTAAGGAGGAGTAAGCCAAGATAAGGCGAGGCAGAAGTATATATTGATCAAGAAAACATTGGCTTGGCAACCACACTAGATCCAGGCTCTTATCATGCGCCTTGATACCTTTATTTACCCCTTCGAAATATAATACTCTTCATCACTACCTCGACTTCTGTCTGAAAATAGCTTACATGGGAAATTTCAGCTCAAGGTAGAATATTAAGCTATCAAGTCAACTGACTTATATCAGAAGTATCGAATTCATGGATTTTACGCAATTTACCTTCTTCCTGCTATTCTTTATTTATCCTCTGAACCAACGAGCAAAGGCAGGTACGTATCTATACTTATTTACCCCAAAATTGCCCATAGTCATTTCCGCAGACCACCCTAAGTTTATTTACCACACATTTTTCCTCTGTCGTGCTGTCCTCTTTTTAAAATCTTTCCCTACTCAAGATGAAGATCTGACTGTTGAACTCGTCTGAAGATAATTTATCAATATCGCAACTACTTATCGTACGACTTTCTCGAGCTTTTGGTCAAGATTTCAAGTCGGGCAAGAGTTATCTCCTTCTCGTGACCTTACTTCATGTTTATGAAAAGGCGGATCACATTCCCGAGCAATTTCAGGCTTGCTAGGCTTACATGGAATGTATCTGAAAATCACAAATTGTACCAATCTGTGTTTTGTTTCAAGGGGAGTAAGTTTCTAAAGAAACTTTGTTGCAAGCTGCGTCGGTGAGAGAGTATAACAGTGTAATTTAGTATCACCAACTCAGTTGATAACGTAAAGTGGCCACCGCAAAGAGTTTCAAAGCTGACGTTTCGAGCGTCAGACCTTAGTTAGAACTAACGAGCAGCTCCAAAACTCTCAGTTCGTGCCACAAGTTTTGTCCCGTCTTAGGAGCATTTTTCTGTAGATTTTCGCGTAGTGGCATGAACTGAGAGTTTTATGGCTTCCCATAACATATGAAATAGTTTAATTTAAATAGTAAAAGTGCGGAATTCTTTTGAAGTCAGTCGCTAGAAATACCAATCACTTGGAGCCAAAAAGACTGAGAGCTTTGTGTTATCTCGAGATAAATTTATGCCTCAAACGCATTTATCTTTTGTGTTGTTTATTATAAAACAAACTCTTGTTTACTCTAAAATCAGATCAGAAAAGCTACCGAAGAAAGACACACAGCCTTAAGCTAACTGCTGACAAAACCATTACAATGACAGACTTGTCGATACAATAATAACAATTAAACGTACAGAGAATACAAGGCAAAGGAAGGAAAACCCTCTTAAGAGTGTCTATATTTTACTGTGGACGAAATACGCTCTTAGCTCCATTGGGTGAAGTTTCCGTTGTTATATCACACTAATGACACTCAAGCGGACTCTTGCAACTGTCGTTGCATAATTCGATAACCTTTTTTTTTACTATAAGCAGAAAGAGCATGACCGAAACATACGATTACGAAAAAGAATGATTTCGTTACGACAATTTACTTTTGATACATCAGAAGCATCTCCTTTCAAACAGAACCCCGGCCTTCCTTTTTCGCAATCCTCTGGTAATCCTACAACCTCTTCTCTTTTTCTAACCCCATTTACGAACTCCAATTAACGAGATTACAACTCTTAAATCAGAGGAGACCCGCATAGAAAGAGCCTTGTGGCTGAAATGGGCTCCTTTCCAAGACCCCATAGAGTCTTTACTAGTTGGACAATGAGTACAGAATCACTTAAAAATTGCAAAAATTCCTTAATTTCCTCTTTGTAGGTGATAGGACATCAGCCCTGTGTCAGGATGAGATTTCGACTTGTCCCGAATGGGCAGAACATTGTAGTGTATATTTACATGTAAGGCAAAAGTGTCCGCTGACCTGTAAGCAGTGTGGTAAGTTGACATAAGTTGGCATTTCCCTGAAAAAAGTAGATTAATACAAACTTAACCGGACATTTCACTCTCGCCCAAGTGTATCATATTTTTTACTGACATCTCAGCTTACTTATCTAGTTTAGTGATTCTATTCCATGAGTCTTGTACCCATCATCAGTTTTTTTCAATCTAGTGATTTTACGAGTCACGGCTGATAGACACGGAAGGCAATTGTATGTTACCAAGCTTCTGTAGAGCGCCAGAAGTTCATTCCGACGATGCGAAGGACTTTCATTTCCGGAGAAAATGTTAAAACAAATTAGGCCCTCTAGGCACTGGGTCAAATGTGGGATGTTTCACCTTAATACTTCCTTTAATAAACTTTCACTGAACAAGTTTAAGACGGTAGACCATAATCGTGTGTCATCGTGGAAGGAATGGAATGAAAACTGAGATTATAAGTGAGAGAAATACACTCAAATTTTCCGTTCATTGAAGTTAGTCAAAACGTACACCCTGTTAAAATCGTCTTTGATTATAACAGATTCTTTTTAATTCCTGAAAATGACAGCCGCTACCTGTTATACAAATACCTCGGCCCAACAAAGAAACTTTGAAATACTGAACTTAAAAGTTCGGAATTTAACTCGTTGCCTTTTTTCCTCGTCAGATCATTTCGTCTCTGTTTTTTATCTGTTTTTCTTTTAACGAATTTCTTACTATTTCTCCTGCTATAGATAACAATTCGCCTTTCACGCTTGTAACACCTTTGACGTCATCACGTCACCTCGTCTCAACGCGATGTACTTTATTCACCACCAGAACAAGTACCGTTGAAATTATCAATAGAGGGACGTCGTTAAAAAACACCATAATAACACCAGCGGCATCAACAAAACCAGCGGTATCAACATCACCAGCGGCATCAACAACATACTTCACTCAAGTGAATGCACTTTTGACCTTAGGGATCATTTGGAGTCATATTCTCTGTCACTGATGATGTCACAAGTTGCTAAAAACAAGTATCACAAAATAATTGTTCACCTGTTGCGCCAGGAAACATCACCTACAAAATTTCGATTATGGCAACAAACATTTGAAATTCAAGGCTACTATGGGCCCAATTCTCAAAATTTCTTGTAACCTTTTGCGGGCTCGAATCCATATTTCAAAGCCTAAATCTAAGGAATAATATTGCAGTTCAGTTTAAAACCAATGCATTTTCTTCCACTTCCTGCTATTATCATCGTTTGAATTTCAAAACCATCATCATCTCCATCCTGAATGGAGACACGACAAACAAAAAGCAGCTTTAAGGGACTGAGAACTACCGCGACTTTCAGGAATTGCGTCCCACGTCTTTCATGATAATTTTTTTTGGTCGAGTGATGTCTGCACGCAAACTTAGTGAGAAAATTCATGGCTTATTCCTGGGCAATCTCTCTTAATCTTGTATAGCTGATCTCCTGTGAATAAGGTTGCATGTTCTCCGCTTACAGCTTGAATACCACTTCAGAGGACGAATGGACTCAGCATGAGTAGCCTGTGGTGAAGCCGGACGTATTATTCATCCCGGCTGTGGGGGATGACTGCGACGCAGGCTACGCATGGAGAGCCCATGCGTTAAGAATTGACTTGTTATTTCAAGATCCTCTTGAAACTTCGATAGCAGGATATTAAAAGATAATTTTAGAGGGATTTCTATAATTAAGGTTTTAAGAAGATTTTAGTCGTATAGATTTATTCTCTCACGCTGATAGGCTTATCTCATAACATATCATCGTGTGACTTGTCCAAGAATGGACGCTGAATGCCAAAACATCAAAGTGATCAAACCTTTCTTGACTTATGAGAAATTCTAGGTGCGAAAAAGTTATGATTTCCTGACTTTAAGCGGCAAAATACTTGTAATCCCTTTGTTATGACATCTTTTAGACACAAATAATACTACTTAAAAAGAAATATTCCCATACGTAGAATTTGGATAAATTCCAAAGCTATTTCATCGAGGACTTGACTGCACGCAAACAGCGATGCTCACTAAATTTCAAAACAAAGTCAGCAACTGCGCACGCGCTGTTGTTGAATTAGGTGAGGAGTAGTTGTGTAGTTACTCAGATACTGACATTATCGCTATCTCCTAAATCAATAAAAGAGTAAAGAAGGTTTACAATTATTTCTGGCGTAATGGATTGGGCGAGAAACTACAAAAGGGCGAGAAACTACAAAAGGGCGAGAAATTTGTGTCCTTAAACTGCTTTCCAATGAAGCCAGGTGGACTATCATGCTGGTAACCCTTTGACCCGTAAGAGTGGAAAGCATAGAATTTTTCCCAACAGTATCCCGTTATTTATTAGGGTCATAAGGAAAAAGGAAATGATCATGAACTCAGGGAGTTGCAGAGATTTTGGACATTAAAGGCCGATTTTGGATTTTGAACACTAATGGTTAGTTTTGGATTCGGGTCACTGGTGGCCCATTTTTCATTTTCAATACTAGTGGCCGATTTTAAATTTTGGACACTACTGGCCGATTTCAAATTTCGGACATTACTGGCCGATTTTAAATTCTGGACACTACTGGCCGATTTTGAACACCTATAGCCAATTTTGGATTTCGGACAATAGTGGCCGGTTTTGGATTTTGGCCACTAGTGACCAATTCGGATTTTGGATTTTGAATACTAGTGGCCGATTTTTGATTTTGGAAACTAGTGGCCAATTTTGGATGTTGGATTTTGGATTTTGGATTTGGACACTGGTGGCCGATTTTAAATTTGGGACACTAGTGACCGATCTTGGATTTTGGCCACCAGTGGCCGATTTTGGATTTTGGACGCCAATGGCCGATTTTAGATTTTGGAGACTGGTGGCCGATTTTAAGTTTTGGACACGAATGGCCCTTTTTTTTATTTTGGACACTAAAGGGCGATTTCGGATTTGGGCCAACAGTGGCCGATTTTAAGTATTTGGACACTAGTGGACAACTTTGGATTTGGGCCACTAGTGGCCGATTTTGGATTTCGGACACTAGTGGCCGATTTTGGATTTTGAACACTGGTAGCCAATTTTGGATTTTGGACTCTGGTGCATGGTGGCCGATTTAGGATTTGGGCCACTTGTGGCCGATTTTTAATTTCGGACACTAGTAGCCGATTTTGGATTTTGGACACCAGTGGCCGATTTTAAGTATTTGTACTTTTCACTAGGTTATTTTAGAGCCTTATGGAAGAATCAGGTGAATTTTATCATAAAAAAAAAAACAAAATCCTCCGACTTCACCCCAACCCCCTCCTCCAGGTGATAAATAATGACCAGTCCCTAAAGTCCCTGCACCTGTAAGCGCAGCTAGACGTGTCAAAAACTTATGACATGCGTGCGCATCTTCCTTTGATTCTTTACCTCACAAACCCTCTGAATTTGAGAGCAAGCCTCGTAAACCAGAGCAGAAGGACGGCGGTTGATCACTCCTTTAAAGATTTTGTCACATATATCTATCCAAATATCAACTTCCTTAGTAACAACTTCAGGTTGAATTCCAAGGATAATCAATGATGGTGGATTTACTCTGTGCTGCGCGAGTCGAGAACTCGACCGAGAGCGCATCGTGCACTTGTAAACCTGTTTACGCTGCTATAATCCCTAACATTGCCATCTCAAGTTTTCTATGTTATACCACAGCCATGATGAATATTGTGACAATCTACGCTCTGGGAAAAACGTCGTCGATCTTAAAGCCTTTAAAAATATTACTTCTGAGCCTTGCAGTTTCTGACCTCTGCACTGGACTACTAAGCCTGCCGTTGAACATCGCTTGGCAGATCCAAATGCTACGATGCAACCTTGATAAGATCCCTGCAGTTTTGAATGTCTTTTGTTCGAATTTTCTGTATCTATCTTCGCTTTTGGGGCTAACTGTTCTAAGTGCAGATAGATTCGTTGCCATTCAGATGCCTTTGCGATACAAGGAACTTGTGACTCACAAACGAGTGGTTATCATAGTCATCGCAAAGTGGCTTTTCTGTGCTATTTTTACAGTGATCGATCTTTTCTTTACCCCAAAAGATTTTTCTTTTGCGATCCATTTTACAATAGAGTCAACTTGCTTTTTTCTTTCGACATGTTTTTCTTTCAAGGTATATTTGACAGCGAAGCTCCACAGGCACCGATTCCTCGCCCGATCACAACAGGTTGCTCAAAGCAATGAACGAACTCTCGCGAGACTCCGGAAATCTGCACTTGGTACGTTTTGGATTTATCTCGTGTTTTGGGCTTGTTATCTGCCGAATTTTATTGTTTATTGCATTTTTCATCTAAAAAAAGTACATACTGAAATGCAAACTCTAGAAACCTGCGCGGCGACGCTTGTATATGTAAATTCATACCTCAACCCTATCATATACTGTTGGAAGATGAGACTTATTCGACGAACCATGATGAACAGCCTTCGAGGCCTTATTAGAAAGTGATAACTATTTCAATGGAGAACAAAACCGTTTTTTTGTTTAACAAAGAACAATTGTACAGAGCGTTTTTCTCGGACCGACCGGCAGACATCATGTCAAGTGGTTGTCTTTCAGACCTTTTCTATACCGCCCTATCAGGATTTATTAGATATTTTTTTCATCAACATATATTGGTTCCATAATCTACTACTTGCTGATTCTTAACGTAGTTACTAGACTATTTTCTAGCTGTCTTTTAGTTCTTTTTTTTTTACGATAAAAGGGTGAAACGGGAGCTGGTAAGCAACAGTCGCCGAAATAGCTTGCCTGCAGGTGGAAGCGGAAAAAATAAGAAACAAAATCGTGTAGTGGTTATTTGAATAAAATTAATATCGACTTTGAAAAGTCTGTTCAATTCCGTATTTTCCTAACAAATATGGCCCACAAAACGATTAGGACTAACAGGGGGCATTTGGTGGACGCACCACAAGTTCTGTTAAAAAATACAACAGATATCCCTGACATACGATCCTTCGTAAACAAATTCAGATTAATTTAACCCTGGCTAAGATCTAGCTAAAGCATTTGTAACGATAGTGCATTTGGACACTCTTCTATGATATGAACACTGCACCTATACACCAAGCCATTTTAGAGTACAGACTGGTGGTAGCAATAAGATTAGACCGAAGCCGTATTGAGATGACTGCATATGAATAACTAATTTGCTTTCGATTCGGTTTCGGAGCCTCATTCAAGCTGGTAAAATGTAGTTTAATACTTCTCCCTTTTTTAAGTCTATCGAAAATTTTGCTGATATATGCATCTAATTGTTCAAACGCTTATTTACATCATTCTATAGTTAAAAGTTCCACTAATGAGACTATCCTTTTTTAATTTTTTCCTCCGAGATAACCTAGGCTATTCTGTATATATTTTTTCATTTTTTTTAAAATAAAACTATCGTAGAGCATATGTACCAGAGACCAGATGGAGATAAAATTAATGCAGGCGAAAGACACGGCATCTAGAGTCAAATCTAGTCTTCATATTGGAGGACAGACGCATGGATAAGGTCACCATTAAGAGGCTGTCAGCGTCAGAACGGATAAGGAAAATTTCGACCAATCACCGATTACCCTAAGTTTTTCACTGAAGTCAACAATGTTATCCCATGTACAAATATCACATTTATTTTGATCAATTTTATTAATTTTATTTTTTACGAGACAATTTTAAAGGTCACCCCAAAACTGCCCAATTTGTCTTCTGTAACCCCTATAATTAAGCTATAAGTATCGAGCACTGCCAAATCCTTATTTCCCAATCTAGAAAGCTGATTATTTTA